TGGAACCGAACGGACTGAACTCCAGTTCCGGTTACATCATCAGTAAAAACATGCCTTCTCCACCACTTTGCAGGAGAATTTCGATACTGGCATGCAAACTCTTTCTGCTTCCATCTATTATGTCTATTGTAGCATGGCTTCTGATGACATATGCGAACCCAGAGCTTCTGATCCCTCAAAGTATCACCAATCAAGCATTCTGATATCTTTAAGCTTGAACTCGTAGCAATTTCTGCAATTGTCGCATGAGGGTCTCACATAGAAAGGAGGTGGACATATCATCTATCCCATTCAGAAAGCTTTTTTGGTCTTCCAGAGTGTGGTGCATGGTGAATTTTCTTTTCTTTTTCAAAGGTAGTTGCAATTCAATGAGCAGCTGATATGGAGATACCAACTTCGCTTGCAATTTCATGATAGGGTTTTCCTTCAGCACACTTCTTAATGACCTCAACATGATCTTCTGTACTCATATGGGTGAGTCTTGGTTGCTTTTTTGGTGCCATTGATTGGGTTGTGGTTATTGGCTGTTTTTGGTCGGTTGGAGTAGTGATGGTACTGGTGGTTGCGATGAAAATTTTCCCGAAACTTTCTTCACGTGGGTGGGAGAGCCGATAGGAAATACCATACCCTGATGAATAAGGTGCCTAATTCGGTATCCTCTTTAATGGATACAATAGCGTGCAGAAGAAGCTTTTCAACATTTCCCCTCCCCTAAATCCACAACTGCGTACCCCAGCATATACTAATGGTATATCGCAGGGCGAGTAGGGGAGGAATTGAGGTGGTTATGCAGGAGTTCGTGGAATGGCTGTTACCTCCTGGTCACTGCCCGTGCTGTACTGTACCTCGCTGCATAAACCACCGGTACTGGACCTGATATCAAAATGGTCACACTAGTTCCAATTGACTTGAAGATTGCCACCAGATCTGAGCTGGACGACTAGCCGTTTGCGAATACTGGTGTCATTGTGCAACAGTGTCCACAAGACTTCTTAACACTGGCAGACCCTGCTGTTCTACCGACACACCACTTTTCCATTTTGCTCCCGGGAAACCCATCCGCCCACTGCACTCGGTTGACACGACAGTGCAAGCAACAAAGAGTGGAAGATGTCCCAATTTTATCTCAATGATAGCTCCAACCACTTGCGCGCTACTGCTATTGCGACTTGGATATTGCGTTCGATTTCGTTAAGGATATCCTTAGAGGGACTACGGCGGAGGATAGTGCAAGCTTTAGGATCTTCACGCTTTGTCTTAAACGAAAAGTATCAAAGAGCGTCAGCTATGTTGCTTCCACGGGACCCCCAAGTTTCACAGGGTAGGATATCGTGCTCATCACTAATCTTCTCAATCTCACAGAGACCGCATTTTGTACTAACATCTGACTCATTGATATCGTCTACACGGTTCACAAATGTAGTACCAACGGCGCGGGTGACACGGTCGTTATTGGTCTTTCTGGCACGGCGGAGGGCTGTTACATTTCCCCTGAAGAGGTAGTGTTGAGCAAGATCTTAAGGTTGCAGCGTTAGTCTTTCACCCCAATGTCAAACCGCAGAGGGACACACCAGAAACTCCCTTCTCAGTATTGACCAAATCCGGCTTGAACACTAAAATAGCAACATAACCCCAACCGATATTTCCTCTATTTCCAAGATATTACTCCGGTCTTCCTCCTTACTAATTTCGATATTGGTCTGAGACCCTGCCCCTTATACTCTAGCGCACAATCCAGCAAGATAATCCTAAGGTTCTCAATCCTCCTCCTCATCGTCGGGTGCGTAATATCCTTATTCGACATGACACCGTCAAGAACTCTCGAATCCTCAATCTCTCCTCCGGGAATTTTCTCGACCCTGGTGTGATGCTTGATGTTGACCTCCTTCCTTCCTCCCTGATCCCTCACCACAGTGCGAACAGCCGAAAGGGCAAGATCAAACATCAGCTTCCACCATCGAAATGCAAACTTTGTGCCGATATAAGACTGGATCAAGTTATGCATCGCCTCATCATCGCCGGCAGAGATAGGAATAGGATGTCCTCAACGATAGCTAGGAAATCGGCAAGAGCTCTCTGGAAAGCTTGGATAACAACGGCGGGATGGATGTTGCGTTGCAAGTGCTGGAGAGTTTGTGCGAGGACTTCACCGGTGGGGCAATAACAGTAGTAGTACCACCTCCAACTTCTTCATCCTATTCACAGAGGGGCTCGCAAGGTTAATGCCTACTCCTTTAAATGAACCCAATCTGCTACTGTACAGTACAAACCTCAATCCCCCCCAACACCCAGGAACTAGAGGCAATAGTAGCAGTCAACAGGGTGGAGAAAACGATCATATTTGCCCCTCAACTCAATCAAGCTCTTAGCAGCAGTATGAGCGACCTCGATTTCTCTCTGAATTGCATGTCCATTGTGTGTCAGTACGATTCCACCCATTGGGTCCAACAGCGTTTCCAACATTTCCTTAGGCCTAAGCAAGACAGGTTGATGTCCGCAACAGTCTTAGCAGCGGTAATACTCGAAACTTGAGCTTTGCGCTCTATCCGACAATAAAAGCATACATCAGGAAATTGAACTTGACCGGATAAGAGTGGAATATAAAAATGGATGAAATACCAGTCTGACTCTCCCCGGACTGGGTATTCATAACTAGCGCTGGAGCCTACATTGTAGAGAGATTAAGGGAAGTAATTATTTGGGGTGAGCTTCTAGGAGAGTTGCTCAAAGGCGCAGAATGGGTTAGATAGGAAATGGTTGGGTTGTTGGATAGTGGGGTATAGAAGACGACAATGCAGGGCGGAAAGGGTTCGATAATATTTTTTGTTCGGTTATACAGTATAGCATTGCCAAGCTTACGGTATTTCTGATTGCCCCGCCGTGCCCTAAGCAGCCCTTGTTATACTCCTTGTAGAATAAGTTACGAGCACTACGCATGATGTTTTCGTAAGTGGAGGGATAAAAATTTGGTTATTGGTTAAAGGTTGTAAGTCAGGGTATGAAGTACGCTTTAGTGTAGCCTAGAATGCCCGAAACGGAAAAAGTTCTTTTTAGGAATAATAATAATAATTTCGTACAAAATGTTGCCAAGTAAATCCTTGGTGGAAATAGAAGCAAAAACACCGAACGGCGATACATCGGAAGGAAATAAGCTGGAAGTAGCAGATGGGTGAAGTCGAGGAAGCAGTGGAGACAAGGTTTAGTGGCCGCGTCACGGGGCCGGTTTTTGGTAGAAGCCGCAGGTGGCCATAATATCTTCCGTCCTACGGTAGGTTAGGGTGTGCGGGCTTTCCTACTCGATGATAAAAGCGCTCCTACTGCCGCTGCATTGCATTCGTGACCGCTAAAATTACGAATAAAAGATACAATTACCCCCATCAAAAATCCGGTGTCACTGGAAAACCACAAGGGCTTTTCGCAGCGCGGGAGACAATGATGTGCCCGGTTGAGAGATTCTGATAGTCATTGCAAGGGGAACACATAAGGGCCTCCAATGGTGCCCACCTAGTATTTCACCCTGAGGTGTGTACAGTCTAGCTACGAGCAGATGAGAAACCACAATTAACATGGGAGCTAATAGATATCACCAGGAACCGCGCCGGAAAGAAAAAAAAAAAAAAGAGACCCAAGAAAAAGTTCTGCGGTGCAGCGGGTTCTTTGGACCCCTCCTTTCTGAACTTGCATGACGGCATCTCCAGTCCGGAGGTTGAATGACTCAATTTTTCTTGATACCATCTGAGTGATTAGGGGAGAGCTCCGCTGTTGTTGAATAGGGTTCCCGGAAGCTGTCCGGAGATGCCCTTTCCCATGGATCTCGCTAGGGGTGCTATTGGGATGTTGAACATTCGGCTGCGTTGAGCGGCTTCTACTGAGAGTCCAGTAGTCTCTGAGTACCTGGTACAGAACGTCATTTTTGTGGTTTCACTGCTGACGTGATGTGCCTTGAGCTGTTGAGCCGATCCCGGGACGGGTGGAACTAATGAGTGACGTGAAGGGCATGTCAACTAGCCCCCCTCTCCATCCTTAGATATATAGCGGGGTAGGCTAGCAGATATCTGCCATGTATGATATAGCATTATACGTTATGACGCATCATTTATGGTAACTAGTCCCATATAGCAGGAACGGTCTATACGGTACTCGAGTATAGTTCACAATCGCCTTATGAATGCTTGCTTGGTCATAAATTTCTTCTATATAAACAGCACTATATGTTTGTCCATCGTTCGGGAGGGGGAGGGGGAGGGGGGAGACAAGGAAGGAAAAAACTGTGCTATAAGATATCATACAAGAAAAAAATAAAAAGTAGCTAGAAATTTACAACTAGAGAAATATCGGATAAGGTGGGATGAAAAGTGCAAGCTATAAACCGGACCTTCTCACACAATAGGTCTAGTCCTCCCCAATGAACAAAACACCATTGATTTGATAGCAAAAACTCATAAATCCTCACTCGGCGGCGGGAGCAAATCTAGGGTAATTTAGGTGGGCGTTATGACATGTGCATTCCCACGTGATGGGATCCCCTCCGCTTGCGGAGGCAGATGACCAGAAACAGTCTTTGTGAGTGATGTACTCCGGAAGGGAAGGAATGGCGGTGAGTTCCACGAGGCGGTGCCCCTAGACATCAAATCGTGCTGGGGTTTACGGCTTTGAGAGACCGTAGTAGCGATGCAACTCCCCAATACCGACAGCCAGCGGCAGGCGAGAGCGGTGTTCGGCGGCCATTATCTGGCTTGTCGGGGGTTGGCTGCTTCCCAACTGAGTAGTATTTCCTTTACTCTCTCGTGTCCGTGCCGGGACGCAAGTGAAACCAATTTTCGGTAGTCAATACTTGGCTTGTCGGGATTGACCTCTTCCCGCTCAAGTATTACTTTCACCACCCCCTCGTGTCCATACCGGACGGCAAGCGAGAGCGCTGTTCGACCTCTACCATCTGGTCTGTGAGGGTTGACCTCGCCCCGCCCAAGCAGTATATTCACTACTCCTTTGTGTCCATACCGGGCTGCAAGTGAGATCGGTGTTCGGCCGTCATTATCTGGCTTGTCGGGATTGACCTCTTCCCGCTCGAGTAGCATCTTCACCACTCCTTCGCGTCCATACCGGGCGGCAAGAGGGAGCAGGGTTCGGCCGTCATTATCTGGCTTGTCGGGATTGACCTCTTCCCGCTCGAGTGTTTTCACCACTCC